GGATGGATTCAATGGAATATTTATGTATCTATCGAAACTGTTAGAAGAACAACTTTTCCATGTGTTTACACTGAAATGAGTGAAAGAGTCAATTCCAAAAATGGACATTCAGGCTTTCTTTGGGGCTGTTGGCATGGGAGGAATATTCCTCCAGTAAATGTGACCAGGATTTATGTGGCGATGCAGCTACAGGAAACCGGCTTGAGGAAAGGCGTGCTGCCTGTTTCCTTAACCTGCCGTCCAAAAGCTGGACATCAAACGGCTTTACCGCTCCTCTGACAGGTGTTTTCTGTGATCACCGGGATATTTTTCCACATCTCGAAACATTAAAACGTTTGGCTGGGGAAGGAAAATTCAAATGGTTGGTTGGGGGAAACTGCCATTAGGCCGCCCAAGGCCAGACTCCATCACTTCCTGTTTCTTTACGAGGTCAGTTCCTGTCTTTGGTCCCGGGGCCAGGCAGGAAGCAGGAAGAAGGGGGCGTGGAGGGGGCTTCTAGTGGGGGGATTGGACCCGGCCTGAGACGGAGGAACCCGTTTATGGGCGGAGTCTTGCACACCTGGACGCCACAGAGCAGGTGGCTTCCCTTTCTCTTCGTCTTTTGGTCTCCATAACGATGCCTTCATCCCCCATTAACTCAGAGAGTTCCATACTGCCAGAGTTTTTTTAGCATTTTGACAGATTTTTCAAGAGCCACAGAATAGTTTGTGCTATGACTATGTAAACACCGAACACACTAAAAGAAAGAGTAGACTCTCTTCTTTCATCAGGAAAAAATGTTTTGTTTCTACCTTATTCCGTTCTTCCTCGACGTGCGTCTCACCGGCGACCTGTTCTCTCATAGCGAACCGTTACATTTTTCTTATTTGCTTACAGTCTATGCTCATCTCCCATCAAAAGTGGCACTGCCATCTAGAGGGTCAATTTGTTACTACATACTCTGTCTAGAAGCCGATATTTACGGAAAAGCTTTAGCAGATCGTCCCCCAAGCCACTTGCGTTGAAAAACATAAAAGACGTCTATAGACATCTTTGGCAGCCAATGAGTTAAGTTAAAGATGGGGTCAAAGCCTCTGGAAACGCTCCATTAGGCCACCTCGGTCCCCCGTATCTTGAGGATGCGATGACATCATGTGGAAACAGGACATCCCGGTGGCTGAGAAGCCCTAGTTTTCCACGGCCCGCCTCCATCTCTGCCCGCCCGTTTCTCCCCGCCTGAGACCGGGCCTGGACTCTGTGTGTTGGGACAGTGTGCTTCCCATTGTCCTATCACTCCTGCCCCACTCACACTCTGCATCCTGTGGAGTTTCCTGTGCAGGAGGCAGCGGGAGAGACGAGCAGAGGGAGAAGGGAAAAGGTAAGAAAAGAGACCGGGCGAAAAAGTTTGGGCTCATTGCGTCGAAAACCACCGAAGCTCCACGAACTGGGCGGATTGTGGACGCGTTTGCGTGTAGCTGAGGTGAACTTCTCCCTCTGGGAGCCGCTTATCTGCAGCCCTCTGCGCAGGAAAGGGTGTGTCGCCCTGCTCTGGATGTTTGTGAGTGTGAGGACGGCGATGGAGGGTGATGTTATTGTGATTTCACAAGAATGCTCCGAATGCGTGCTTCTGGTTTCGGGTCAAAATCTCGTTGCTTCCTGATATTGTTTCGCGTGAGCCAGAGCGGCAATATAATGTTGTAAAGCTGTGAAAAGAAACTGTTCCACAGAACATTTGGTCCTTTTTTACGGGAATTTTTAGGTGAAGAAAGAGAGGAGCCATGTTCCTTTAAAGCAGTTGTAATTGTGGTGTATCGCCACCTTTTCCGGGTGGTGATACAGAAATGTCTTTTTTGGACCAACGATGTCCAAAACAACTGTGAAGATCTTAATAACCTTTCAGCTATGGAACAAGTTCGGCCATCTTTTTTTCATCCAAAACTCCATCGAGCTCTGTTGTTTTCCATGTGTGGCTTGTTACTCAGAGGTTCTTGGTTCCTTTAGAGAAAGAGATTTGAAGAATTTAGACACGCAGAAAATGGAAAAGGAGACATATTGCTCAGTGGGGTAAAATTCCAGCAGCTGATCTCTGTTTCAGACATCGAATTTGATTTAATTTTGAATTTATATCTTGAGCTGATGGACAAATTCTACTTCCCAGCACTGAAGCATGGTGGTGGCAGCATCATGCTGGGAGAGAAAACAGAAAATCCAAGATTTTAATAATTTGTTGACAAAAATGGTTTTCAAATTCTTGGATCCTTTAGATATGATGTAATCAGCCTTTTGCCATTTAAATTGAAGACAAACTCAACGAGTGAGGCCGTCTGAAGAGCTTCTAAAAGGCCGTCTGCAGATTTTTACATTTCTTTTTGGCATTGAGGGGAACATTTTGATGTCTTTGAAAGCAGTAGGTTTAGTTGTAATGGACAGAGACAACTACTCAGCTGGAATTTATACATTATGTTATTGGTATTACCAGTATTATAACTTTGTCTGATGATAAAAAAAAAGATCTAAATGTGGAATTTCTTTCGTTATTTATAGTGAAGCTGTTTATTCAGTTCTGTGGAACTGTTTTTTTTTTTTATTCTTTTACACAATTGTCCAGAATAGTCCCTTTCCTGTGTCTCCTATCTGGTGCTCGCTGTTAAACTTATCACAAACCAACATCACACTTCTACCCACCAGAGGAAGCAGCTTCTGTTTTACTGCTTGATCTAATTGGTTCTTTGCTTTTTGCCCTCTGCTAGCAAATATAGATTGATCAGAGAGTGAAACAAGAGTCAGCTTTGACGCTACAGGAGAATCCCAAGAAGGCCTTGTTGTAGATTTGGTCGCATCTTTTTGAGTCGTAGCACCAGACTGGTGTATTATGAACATTATGGTGGGTGAACGTCACTATAATGGATCGTTTTTAAACCAAACCATCATTAACAGAGCCTGTGTTCTATTGATGATTTGTTTTGAGCAGAGGAACAGAAACCCAGACTGACATGAAGGACTCCGGCTGAACAGACACACAAAAGTAGTGCGCAGACTGACTACACAACCCCCACCCGACGACTCACTGCCTCCACCACCGCACCCCGACCCACTCCACACTCTCTACGTGTGCTTTATGATAGTTGTGGCGACCGAGATGTGAACGCGTCTGGTATTAAAAGACACAGAGGCAAAGCTGATTAGCATTCAGAGGCGAGTCGATGTGGGTTTCACTTCACAGGCCGACGGGGTTTGTGCCATTTAGTTTCTTCATTTTGTGGACAGAATAAGTGGGTTATTGCCAGTGAAGACCAGCTCAGAGCAGGAATATCGGCCCAACCAGTCGAGAGCAACTGGTTGTGACGAAGAATGGCGGCTTTTTAAAAACACTCCCCGCTTTGTGAGCGAGGGGGCGTCTCTGTTGTTTAATCTCTCCTGTTTGTGGTCGTGTTCGACTCCTGGAGAAGGCAAAAAGGTGAGAAAAAGCAGAGAACGCATCAGGATGACACAGAATTGTGTTCCGCCCTCTGTGACGTCTCCTCTATGGATTTTATCAAGAAGCCGGCATCCGAATGGAGGATGGAGGGAACGAGAACGGTTGTGTGGGATGGATGTGAGCTTGAGAAGAAAATGTGTGTGTCCGGGGGGTTTGTGGCCCTGCAGCTGTTTTGGGTGTGTGTTTGTGGATGGACTCTGTCCTCGGTTTCCAGGAAAAGGGGGGAGCCATCGGAGGGGTGAACAGGAAACTGTAGCAGGGCTAACTTCCTGTAGTTCTCATGATGGCTGGCCTGATAACCAGTGAGTGTGTGTGTGTGTCCATTCCCCTAATCGTGAAATGTTTGTATATGTTGCTGTGGGTGAAGCGATGCAGTCATCTGGATGCAGCCCATTTTAGCTTTTGTTTCTGTGGAAGAATTTCAAGGAATTTGTGCGGATGGAACCAACTCGACGGTTCAGAAGAAGCTCAGCCGTTTTTTTTTTAATGAAAGTAAATAGCTTTTTTTTTGTTCTTCCCTCTGTGCCGTGACTTGTATTGTTCTCCTACTGTGTGACTTCCCCCACATTCCTCAGTAGGTGGGGTCCTCCTGAAAGGTGGCAGGTTAGACTCCAGAGGCCACTCGTCATCCAGTCATCCCAGTATTAAGGAACCAAAAGGAATTCAGTGGATTTGTGGGTTGCGAGTGTTTGGTAGGAGAAATAATCTGGGAACGTATTCACAAGATGGATATTTTACCAAGCTGATAATCATAACAAGGAAAAAGAAAAATACCTGCCTAGTCCCCAACTTAACAGTCTTATTGATAAAAAAAAAAAGTGTTGGCCTTCATTTTTTTTAAAGAAAAAGGACTCGATCTTATATGAAAATGGTTACCTGATTTGTCAAAAATGGACTAAAACCATAAACTGTTCTTTTAAAAGAGCATATTTATATGCTAAGGTGTAATTAATGGACATAGTTTAAAAGGTTTACATGCTCTAATGCCACCTTTAAAAAACTTTATTGTTGATGGAATGATCACTGATTTCACTAAAAAAGGCAAAAGTCAATATTTAATAGTTTTTATTGTATTTTTTTATGGAAGGCCATCTGGCTAAAAGGGAACGTGATCCTTATTGTTGGAAAAGTGGATTTTCTGGAAGTGAAACCTCTAACAAAACAAAGTTTGGATTAAGAATTCATTGGAACTCGTGAGCTTAGATATTTGCTTACCTGACTTATTACTGGACCAAGAAGCTGTTTCAAGCTACGCTCACAGAGCAAGTTGAATAAAGAGATACGAGGATTGTTTCCCTTTGGGGTTAAAAAGCTTTGAAATCACCAGCTTTAGTTTTAGCTTCGTGAACGAGTTTTTTAGGTTCTGTGGCCGTCCACAAAATACAAAAAAAATTAAAAGAACAAAACCTGCGTGCGAAAACCATGCAGAATGCTTTCCACTGTCTTTTGTTTCCTCTTTGTGCTGCAAACAGTTTTTGCTTTGTCAACGTTTGTTCCACTGAAAAATTAAAGTTGGTTCAGAAGTGGCGTTGCTTAAACGAACATGGGCAGGACTCTGCTGGCGGAGGGTCACTGTGTGTCGGTTAGCTCAGTCTGGTGGTGACATTTACAGGCCTCCATCACCACAAATGTTCACACTCACAGCTGTTGACCAAAGAGGGACCGAGTACCGTCTCGAAACGGCAAAGAAAAAAGGGGAAGTGGCTAACCTCACATCTCTCTCTCTCTCTCTCTCTCTCTGGGCTCTCCTTATCTCAGGCTGTTTGCACTTCTGTAACTTCTCCTTACATCTGACTGTGCACATCTCTCGTTCAAACTCTAATTCTCTTGTCTTTTTCTTGCCTCCCCCCTCCTCCATTTTCCCCCCCGCTCACCCTCTCCTCTCTGTTCCAGTGGCGATGCTGATCGACAGATGATCTGACAGAGAAAGACATCAGGTGAGACCAAATTAACTTCTCCTTCCTGCCCTGTCACCGCTCCCTCTCATTCCTGCTGGAGGGAAGTTGAGCTTCTTTATTTAAAGTTTGTTACTTCTCTTTGTCAAGTTCTCTATTGTGTTTAATTTGTACCCTGGTATGCTTTCACTTTCCTCTCACTTCAGTTCATAGGCAGTGAGTTTCTGTAGGTTCAGAAGTGACTCGTAATCAAGCTACATTTGATAAAAACCCTTCTTGTTTTTGTTTTCACATATTTTACTGCTGTTATTTCCCTCTTATTTATGCAAGCTGAGTGGCTTTTAGTTCATATTTAAGCCTCACTTTACATTTAGATCCTCCCACATAGTATCAAACCGAGCTGCCTGCTTCCACAGACGCCGTCTCCGTGCCGGTTATTATGGGGTGTGTCTGCTGCAAGCAGAAGAAGTCTGCCAAGTCCGTCACGTCATCAGCACCAGCCGACATCGCAGATCGGTCTCCTAGCAACGCGGATGGGGGGCTGTCCACGGCCTTCCACAAGGGCCGCTACAGCCCCGACCCCACGCAGACCATCCCCGACTTCAACAAGGCCTTCAACTCCGTCACCATCTTCCCCAACACCAGCACGCACCAGCGGCCCGGGGGCCTGACCAGTACGACCACACGTGCACGCCCGTGCACGGCAAAAATGTGTTTTAAGTGTATTAGATGCCAGAAGGTGGACATCTTAACCGATGCCATATACTTTTAATGGAATAATACTAATAGAAAATCAGGTTCCACCTGAGCATCGTCAAAAATATTTGGTGTTTTCTGTGGTCGCCCTCCATGGTGGGGACAGTGATGCTCTGTTTGTTCTCACGCAGGTGGTGGAGTCACTCTCTTTATAGCTCTGTATGATTATGATGCTCGGACTGAAGATGACCTCACCTTCCAGAAGGGAGAGAAATTCCAGATCATCAACAACACGTGAGCAGACTTATTTATTTACATACTTACTTACTTACTTGCTTATTTATTTACTTACTTACTTACTTACTTACTTACTTACTTACTTACTTACTTACTTGCTTATGTATTTATTTATAAACCTATTTATTTACTTAGTTAGTTAGTTAGTTACTTACTTACTTACTTACCTACTTCTTTACTTACTTATGTATTTATTTAGAAACCTATTTATTTATTTATTTAGTTAGTTAGTTACTTACTTAATTCTTTAGTTACTTACTTATTTCTTTACAGGTGGGTTTACAGATGGCACATTCAAGAACAATAGTCTCTGATATGACAGCAGCAGATAAAAATGTATCCCCCAAACCTCCCAATATGGCAATGTGATCACATCAGTATTGACTTCCTAACACTGGCTGATGTTGTTTGCCCGCATTGGATCCCACAGACAGCCATTAAACGCCTCCCCTGGCTGACTGTCGGAGGCCTCCGCTGGTGTCCGCGCTCACAAGCTCGTGTTATTGACAAACGTTTTGTGCCGCTCTGGAAATCTAAAATCAGTTTTCATGCTGTTTACATTTTGGGTTTGCAGCTAACAGATTAGACACACATGCTCCAAATGCCCTCTTTGTAAACCCGACGTCTTTTTAGAGGCGTCGTTTTATGCTGATGAAACTCCATTTGTGTGTTTTTAAACCCAGAGAGGGCGACTGGTGGGAGGCTCGCTCTTTGGACACCGGAAAATCTGGTTACATCCCCTCGAACTATGTCGCTCCCGTGGACTCCATACAGGCCGAGGAGTGAGTGTGCACAAACACACACAAACACACATCAAGTGTGGGCTCCTGGATGTCTTCAGTGATTCACATGGAGTTTGAAAGCTGAGGCTAAATGATGTGTGTCTGCTGCTGAGACCTGAGTGGTGTTATCATTGTGACAGGTGGTATTTTGGGAAGATGGGGCGGAAGGATGCAGAGAGACAGCTGCTGGGTCAAGGCAACCAGAGGGGGACCTTCCTCATACGCGAGAGCGAGACAACCAAGGGTGAGGCGGCACCACGTCTCCTAAAAGAGATCTTTTTTTGTGTAAATGTGTCGTTCACGTCGGCCCTCTCGATGCCTTGCTCCCCTTTACTCCCCTCCATGTTTCAACCCCTCGCAGGTGCCTACTCGCTGTCCATCCGGGACTGGGACGACAACAAGGGAGACCACGTCAAGCATTATAAGATTCGTAAACTAGACAACGGTGGCTACTACATAACCACCCGGTCGCAGTTTGACACTGTGCAGCAGCTGGTCGAGCACTACACAGGTAACACAACCACACGGAGGACCAGCCAGCCTCTATTTGGTTTCCACTTCCTGTCAGACTGCAAAGCTCGTGCCTCAGCCATCTGAAATTGTCCTAGATTTTTTTTTTTCATTCAAAGATCGCTAGATTTGGAACACTTTGTTAAGAGAAATGGAAATGAAAATATCCTTTCAACCTCTCAGCTGTCAGGTGAAACACTGGCTTCAATAAGCCCCTATAAATATATGTATAAATATGCAACCTAGCTTAAAATCTTGGCTCCGTCAAGTGAACTTGAATATATATGTATGCATTCATTATTTAAATGTATTTCTCGCCCCCCTGCTAGTTCTGTGAAGTGGTCATCTTAGCATAACTCTGTAAAGCTTTTATTATACTTAACTTCCTTCCTTATATTTACTTCTACATGCTACTGCTTTTGGCTCTCTACGTGTTCCTGCCTCCCTTCTTGCCTCATTTAACGTTTTTAAATTGACTGATTTTGCATTTAAAAGAATCCTGCATTGCTGCAGATGACATTACCCAAGTGTTTGTCATGTGATCGGAGTAAACTGCTTAACTGTGCCGCTCTCACGAGACTGCCTCAGAAATGCTGACTTTAGTGTCTCGTCTGATTTTGACCACAGATCTTTTGCAGATGTTTGTTTAAGTGAAGACATCTTCAGCCATTAGTGAATTAACTCAGGTTTTGTGCCACACCAAAGCTTTCACTTCCTCAGCTCTCTGTCAGTATAAATCTGCCACCTAGTGGCTCCAGCTAATATCAGAAAACACTCTGCAGTTTGACAGGCGTTATATCCTTTTTTTTTTTAGCCCTGTTTTGATATTGCTCTGTACTTTTGTGTTGCAGCTCACAGTGTCTGTCGACGCCATTTGTGTCCCTGTACTTTTGTTAACTTGTCAGCTGATGACGCACATGTGCGACCTGTCTTGTTCTTTCTTCAACTTTGTGCCTGCTCTCCTTTCCCCCCGTTTCTGTTTTCTTTTTTTTTCTATCTTTCGCCTGTCGGTTTGTGGTACTCTCTCTCTCAGAGAGAGCGGCCGGACTGTGCTGCCGTTTGATTGGCAGCTGTAAGCGGGGCATGCCTAAGCTGGCAGACTTATCAGTGAAGACCAAGGATATGTGGGAGATTCCCCGCGAATCTCTCCAACTGATTAAGAAACTGGGCAACGGCCAGTTTGGAGAAGTCTGGATGGGTAGGACTGGTGGGACTGTGTTGGAAGGGGGAGGAGGGAAATGACAGCAAAAAGCACCCCCGAAACATGAAATATGAGCAACTGCCAGTCTGAAAGTGCAGGGACGTGTTCACACAGACGTGAAAACATGCAAAACTAATCTAGCTTTTGTCAATTTTCTAAGATGAATGTGCAAAAAAGTGAGACAAATCACAGAAACTGATAAATAGAAGTGAAATCATATTTCAAATCCAGGTGCACTGAGCTGCTCCCCTCCTCCCCCACGAGTGCATGCGCATGTTTCACCATCTCATATAACCTTTCTCACCCCCTCCATCTTTCCATCCACCACTGCACCCCTTTTCTCCCATTCTCCATCACCCACTCCCCTCCTCCCCACCTTCATCTCACCCCTTTCCGGGCGCCTGCCTGCTTCCCCCCCCTCTCCCAGGCAGTAATGACGGGCTGTGCTATTACCTGACAAATCCCTGCCCCAACAGCACCCCCCTCACTCTGGGCCTGGGGCGGGACGCCTGGGAGGTGCACAGGGAAACGCTCTGCCTGCAGAGGAAGCTGGGCCAGGGCTGTTTCGGGGACGTGTGGATGGGTGAGGACCTCGAACGAAGACGTTCGCCCCGAAAAAAACGCCGGATGTGGGATTCCTCTATATCGGTTGATGCCGTTTGTTTTTGCCAGCCTGAGACGCGTGGGTTGGTTTTCCCACAGGAAGCGTGTGCAGTCACACCTGTGGTCGGTTTGTGTTACACGCTGAATCTAGGTGTGTTGGATTTCTGAGCCGGCTGAACTCTTTTCCCGCCCGTGTAACTCAGGTGCTGCCGGTGTTGACGTAAGACATCCAGAAAACCCTCCCTCCCTCCCTCCCTCCCTCCCTCCTCGCATCCCTCCTTCCTCTCCTCACAAAAACGCATGCTCCTCATGTAACAACCACGTGAATGCACCGGGAATTTACCACATGTGGCGTTGTGCCGAAGCACCTCGTTTTGTGTTTATATCCGCGTATATGGGCTCCCGTGTGCCCATATACGCGGATATATATGCTGAATGTGCCTCATAAGCATCTGCTGCTGTCACAAGGATGGAAGGATGAGTGGAAATGCTTCCCGCGGAGCATCTGTGTGCGTCTGTGTGGGCTCGCCTCACATCCGCTCGTCTGTATGCCAGGCATGTGGAACGGCACCACCAAGGTGGCGGTGAAGACTCTGAAGCCGGGAACCATGTCCCCCGAGGCCTTCCTGGAGGAGGCTCAGATCATGAAGAGACTCCGGCATGACAAGCTGGTGCAGCTCTACGCCGTGGTGTCTGAGGAGCCCATCTACATTATCACCGAGTTCATGAGCCAAGGTACCGGGCCGAGTAACTCTGACACACACCCGTAGATCTGAACGGCTGCCATCACAGTAGGTGGAGGCCTCACTGACATTGAACTGCTGAAGTTCGCTTTTCCCACATCATGACAGTGAAAAACACTCCTGCCTCTTAAGATATTAGTAACAGAAAAAGGTCATTTTAATGGAGTGTTTCACCGGTGTTATCGTGGCGCCTTTCCACATAAGTAAATCAATGATAAATTAAGTAATAAGTCCTCCCTTTTCCCCTGAATCTGGAGCCGCTTCAAAGGTTACTGTCTCTCTTTTTGGCTTCCCTGACTTTCATTAAATCTCTAAAATGGACATTTTTTAAATATCCAACTCTGTATCACGCAAACAGAAACAGGCAGTCCATGAAATCAGCAGTGATGTAATTTAGTCCATTAACTGAAGAGGGTTCATGATCAAGGACAGCTTTAGTAATGTGGAAAATCAAAGTTTGAACCTACACATGCTTGGATGAAGCACCGAGTTCATAGGATACCTGTTTGATGTTTTTGGTCATTACTAAACACATTTCTGAACACAGGTTTTTATACAAGACTAAATATTTAAGGTAACAGTTAAATTTCTTACAATTTCAGTTTAAATAGAGCACAAATTTAGTCTTATACACGATATTAAATCATGCAAGTAAATTACGATCTGGTCCATATCGATGTTTCTGCTGTGACCTGGTGGCGGTGACTTGTCAGTAATCGTCTTATCTGCTCCAAACGTGGGACTGTGTGGTTTCCTGCAGCGCTTCCCTTCTTAATGACCCTCCTCTGGTGTTTTCAGGAAGTCTGCTGGACTTCTTAAAGGATGGAGAAGGCCAGAGCCTGAAGCTGCCTCAGCTGGTGGACATGGCCGCGCAGGTGATTGAAGGATGAACTCGCCGACAGACCGGAGCCGGTTTTACTGCCCCTGCTGACGGGGTCTGTTTTCTCCTGTGTGGGGGGGCAGATTGCAGCTGGAATGGCGTACATCGAGCGGATGAACTACATCCACCGGGACCTGCGGGCCGCCAACATCCTGGTCGGAGACAACCTGGTGTGCAAGATCGCCGACTTTGGCCTGGCGAGGCTCATCGAGGACAACGAGTACACGGCCAGACAAGGTGTGTGTGTGTGTGTGTGTGTGGGGGGGGGGTTACGTGTGCATGTGTGTGGGAGAACCTCAGACGCTGTTATTAACGCGTCCACTTTGCCTTTTGTGGTCACTTTTCTTTTTTTTTTTTATATCTTCTTATCAAACACAAAACAGAGGTATATTCTTGGCTCAAGATATAGATTTTGGTGTTTTAAACATTTCAAATTGCACCCCCCACCCCTCAGAACTACTGTGCGTCTACCAACAAGATCAATAAGCAATAAAACATTACTGAGTCATTTATATATACATATACATCTTAGACCATAAAGAAAAGGAAAGACAAAAAATAAATACAACCAAGAAGTAATTAAACAAGATATGCATTAATATGCATATCTGTATATATGTTCCTACCATACATAACAAAGGGGGACAGAATAGCCTTATTCATTTAACCTCTGTAGGTCTTGGCCGTCAGATTTCGATGGTTTACTCTTAGGGATTCTCAGGAAGTGTCTTGAGCTTTTCAAAGTATTTTATTAATAAATTCCAAATACCATAAAAACGATCATTGGATCAGTGTATATTTAATCTTTTCTAATTTTAGGTACGTGGTCACATTTCTATACATAACCTGTCCTAATTATACTATCATCCCTTGTTACCATGGCCTCAGGGGCGAAGTTTCCCATCAAGTGGACGGCTCCAGAAGCTGCTCTCTACGGACGCTTTACCATCAAGTCAGACGTCTGGAGCTTCGGGATCCTCCTGACCGAGCTTATCACCAAGGGCCGGGTGCCTTACCCAGGTACTCCCCCCACCGTTATGTCAGGCAGAATCAGCCTCGTTATCACTTTTCTTCTAAATCTTCCTGGATTAGCTTGAGGTTCTGAAGGGTTTTCATATCAAACAACACTGTGTTTTTGGTGAATTTCTGACCAAGTGTGTAAATTACTTTCAGATCTCGCGGTTTTCAGGGTTTACATCCTCTTCTTTAACACTCATTTGAAATTTGTACTGCCAAAAAACATTTTCTCCTGCACTTTCAATGGCGTTTCAATGGTTTAGAATCTTCGTTTGGGCTTGTAAAGTTTTGTTTTAAGCACATTAAATAACGACGTATTGTTACAAATGTAAAATCTCTGCATGCTGAGGAGCGAAAGGAGTCGGGCCCTTAGTCTCTAATCACGTTTTCTGCTCTTGATCTCTTTTGTTGCTGATATCTGGCAGCACATTACTCTCAGCAGTGACACCTGTTGTTGAAATGAGACTGAAACTCTCGTGTAAAAGCGATAAAAGGCTTCCTGGCTGCGTCCAGGTCCCAGGCGGAGGGCTGAAGCCCTTTGTGTGGAGCCGAGGGCGGCCAGCTCCATCTCCCACCCAGCTGCCTGTCCAGGCCTTTTCTTTTCCCCTCACTTGTCTGCATCCCCGTGAATCATATTTGCATAACAGGCATTTTGGCTCGAACAAGGAAAGTTCCACGCCACGCGTTACCATTTTGACCAAACGTTTAAATTACAGCACAAATCTCAGACCGAAGCCGAGAAAACCGTGCTGCTGCAACACTGAGGAACACATAAAAGCCACTCGAGATTTTCAATTCCCCCTAAAGTCGAAGGAAGTTTTCATTGAGTGTGCGTTTCATTTTCATTGAAAGTCATTTGTGTTTCACGGCTGAATTTCTTCATGTGAATTTTCACACTAAACAAACCTTAAGAGCGTTAAAAAACGTCAGCGTTGTCTGGGAAAAAAGGTTGTGAGCTATGGTTTTTCAACACCTGGATACTGGAGGGCTGCTGGGTTCATGCACTATGAGGAGCATGTACTGTAAAAGTGTGAGCAGAAATATGTAAGTGAGGTTTCTATGAACTGTTTAAATTGTATTGTCACATTTTGAACCACTCAATTTGAAGCTGTTGAACAGAATTTTTTAATAATGGCAGAAAATATCCTTAAGATTTATTTGAAAGCATGATGTGTTGCATCTAACAAAGAACGAATAAATGACCAAATAGCGGAAAAATACAATGTTCTCTTAGAATAAATACATAAATAGGGGCTCTGGGACTCATAGTTTGAAGATTAGATGAACAAAACCGTATTAGATTACACTAATCATCATCACTGCTCCTATTTTGAGACTTAGTTTGTCTCTCTGACCCGACTCTGTTCACTTCAACCTTCTCTGTCCTCTCCTTTCTCCCCCTCCCCTCTCCCTCCTCCACCCCCCCTCCACCCTCTCCCTCCAGGCATGAACAACCGTGAGGTGCTGGAGCAGGTGGAGAGAGGCTACCGGATGCCCTGCGCCCCCGGCTGTCCGGCCTCCCTCCACGAACTGATGGTGCAGTGCTGGAGGCGGGAGCCCGACGAGAGGCACACCTTCGAGTACCTGCAGTCCTTCCTGGAGGATTACTTCACGGCCACAGAGCCCCAGTACCAGCCCGGGGAGAACCTGTGACCCCCCCCGGGGGGATCCTGTTTAACCCGTCAGAATCCAAACACACTCATATGAAGATGCATATCGATGACTTGTTTAAAAAGTTTAGAGACAGTTTCCTTCCTTGTGCCTTCGCTCGCCCGCAGCCAGCTCAGAACGGACCGGTTTACCATTTTGAGGGAGCCTCGGCTCTCCCGGTCAGGCGTCTGCAGAAATTGTTGCTTTACTCCGTAACCATGACAACAAGGATCTGAAAGGAGATGTGGATGGTTGTGTCGGGGTGGAGGGAAGTCCGGTGGGTACATGATCTGTTCGGCTGCCATGTTTGTTCGGGTCTTTTGTGCGGGGAGCTTTCTTTCTCCAGGCTTTCGGCCGTTTGTTTGTCGACGGTCGAGTCTGGACACGAAAAGGTGCGACAGGTTTTCCGTCGCAAACGAGTGTCCGCGGACCCCACGAAAGCTGCCCGAGAGCCGAGTAGATTATGTGCAGACACAGAGAGGCCTGTTTTAAAAGAATCACTCCCCTGCGGTAGGTCTGTTTTCATCTCAATCAGAGATCAGGATCAATGTCCCTCTCCTCGAACCTGTTTCCCACCTCCTGCCTTTAATTCTTTGTTAGGAAAACTTCTGGTGAAAAAAAAAAAGAGCTTTACGTGTCTGATATTTTATGTGACCATTTTGCAAGACGTTGTTGATCTAATTTAACTCCGACACAAGCAATGCTATATGTAGTGACCATGTAAAGGGTTTTATCACTTGGCGGGGCGCCGTCAGATGGACCACATAAAGGGGAAAGACCTGAAGAGGGAGGATGTTTTATGAATGTAACCGTGCTGCCACGCGCCCTGCCATGTCATTGTAATAAAGATCAGATATCTTTTTACGGTTACGACGTGTTTGTCATTCACACACACTCGCGTTGGCTTTTTAAAATTTCCTTTCACAAGTACAGATGCAAGCAGCCACGGCTGAGCAGCTTCATTCAAACCTAATGCATGAGCCAAATGTGGTTAAGAAATGTGAAAATGCAACAAAAGTTGGGATGTAAAACACACAGTTTAGGAGGTTTGAAAAGATTTGTCTCCTGAAATAATACTAAAATAATAATAATTAATAATAATAATAAAACTGAGCATGAGGCTTCATGAAAAATATTTGCCCGTCGGGCGTTTGATGACAGAAATATAAAACTGAATATAACTGAATATAAAATATAAATATAAAGCTGGCCTACTCCTCTCAGCACTGACAGCTGTGCTCCAGATGTGTCTGCACCTGAAACACCTGCATGGTGACCCGGGCCCCAGAGGCTCCTCCTCCGGTCGGCTTCAGCCGTTTCAAATGACCTCTGACCCAGACAGGAAGGCGGTTGTTTCCGGTTCGTTCACACAAACAGCTTCTTCTTCGTGTGATGGAGGTTTCACCTGCGTTTGTGGGGAGCAGAAAACAAAATAACCGACATTTAGCCTGAACCTGTGATCTACTTTTCAGACTCTGGGTCACAGCTGTGCCCTCTAGTAGGTCAAATTGATATGAATCCTTTCATAGTTTCATACTACATAAATCAGGTTTTTTGCAATTTCACTGCGAGCAGCATTAAGATTTAAACTACAGAACAATTTGAGGTTGTTCCTGAACACTAATCACCAGATTCAGGCTCTCCAAGAGGCTGTTTTTAAATCCCTGCTTCAGACCTGTTACCCACTAACCTTCTACAAATCATCCTTTCTGTTAGTTACCCTTTTTCTTAACGACAGAAGCGATGTTTTAAAGGTTTAATGCTTAAAATCTCATGCCAGAGCGTGGCCCTGACTGCGTTTTCTGCCCTCCCACTCATCCCATTGTGTTTCTCCCCCTGCTCCTCCGCTCACTTTCCCCCTGCTGTCTTCAGAAAAACCACAGTTCCCATAGTTCCCCGGCGCTAATTGAAGCCAGCTACGGGTGCCCGGATGGCTTTGACAGTCAGACACGTTGGAGAGGTACAGCGGAGGCTGAGGCGCGTGAGGCTCAGAGTTGGAATCGCAGCAGTGGCGGAGACGCTCGTGCGCACGGTCGCATTTCGCCTCCCGCATACCGGGGAGTCCCGCGCCTGTCACCGGAAGCGGAGCTGCGGGCTCGAGCCCCGGCGCTGTCAGCTCCTCCGCTGAGAGGAGGGCTGCGCGAGACCCTCCTCAATCCCAGAAAAACCCCAACCTTTTTTTGAATTTTTTTTTTTATTGTGTTGCTTTCCCGTGTTTTGTGGGCGCAGACGGCGGTGCGCGGAGCGGTTCGGCCGCTCCAGACGGTGGCGCGCGGCGGCAGCGGGAGGCGCGAGGAGGCAGGAGGAGGCGTTCACGTTCACGCTCACGCGGGAGGACAGACTCCCTCCGCCGCGGGGAGCTCACATGAAGAGGAAATGCTGCCGGCAGCCGGCCGCGGCCGTCCGGGCGGCGGCTCCGTGACCCGGGAGGGCGGACGGAGGCGCGAGCAGCAGCGCGTGCGGCACCGCAGCAGCAGCTCCGGCGGGCGGCGCGAGCCCTCAGACTCTCCCGGTGAGTGTGCGCGTGCGGTGGTCCTATATGTGTGCGCGTGTGTGTGTGTGTGTGT